ACATTTTTTTCCTTAATAAACTTTATATAAACATAAAATTGAGGTCTCGATGTCAAAACGTCACCAATATTATCTTCTAGTGCCTCAGCATCGAAGAATATTTTCATAAATAAATAAAAAAAATACAGCGTGTAACCACATTCACTCATCATATCATGACTACCCAACGTCCCAGATTTCACCCCCTTTCATCAGGACATAGTGGCCGAGTGGTCTAAGGCGATAAACTAGAAACCTATTGTGGTCTCCATGCGCAAGTTCAAATCTTGCCGATGTCCAGCATCAATATTTTGCAGAGATGAACGGTTAATTAATTTGCTGGTCTCCAAAATCTCCAAAATTTCTTTTTATCCTGCCGATTCACATGGCAATATTTTTTGCAACCACTCGCGGAAAATAAATTCACGTTAGCTGCAACGAAAACCGAGACTGATTGCCGAGCTACTGTGAATGCAAAAGGCATTTAAATGCTCAAAATTTTGAACTTTTACGTTTGCTTGTGTATTAAATACAGAAGCCGTATCAAAGTTGAAAAACGCGTTTTCCTATATTAGACGAAAGAAAGCGCTGATTCCAAAGAAAATATAGCGTCAATATATACAAGTTGAGAAATTATTTTTGATTGGAATTTTTTAGCGTCAAAAAATATTGACGATATGAAACGTTGATATACGTCGACCTCAAAAACGACCATACAAAACATCCAAAGTAACAAGCTATGAAGTATCAGGCAGTAGCTAAGCATGATTTGAAGCGTAAAACTTGCGCTAAACGCGTGAAAAAATGGAAATTTTGAAGTTTTAAAATCGGTCGCGTAAAAACGGTCTCTAGGACGCAATTCTAGCTCAAAAAAAATGACGAAAATACCAAAAAATAGTCAGAAACAACCTGCTTTTGGCCGGAGTCGAACCGGCGACCTTGAGATTATGAGACTCACGCTTTAACCAACTAAGCCACAAAAGCTGATGAAATCGGAGGTTTTTAGGCAAATATTAGCATTATTAATACGTTGTTAAGTGAGGACTTTCTGGTGCTGTCAACGTCAGCACGCATGCCATGTTGGACGCGTGTGGGGACGTAAACCAGGCATAATTCGTGATATTCCACTCAGAGTAACCAATTGAAGGATTTTGTCCATAGTCCTTAAAACCTCAATCTAGTGCTTGTTTGTGATCTTTACCATGACTCCCACTATTTTCCTTCACTGCTGGAGAGTATGAAATCAACCTAGAAATCATTGTTTGTGGTGTAAATGCAGAATGCACGATGTCAAAAAATATGAATACCAAAATTGACTTTCTATGAAAGAGGAGTTAAATAAATAAACTCAGATCATCATTAGAATTAAGTTAGAGCTTGAGAGCTGGAAGAAAGTAAAGGATGAACGTTAAGACCCAGCACGCACACAATTGTTGTGACCAACTTGAGAAAAGGAAGAATCGCGTTCTTTTTTGTTTTCCAAAAAAAAA